GTCGCTCTCCTGGGCGCCCGGACTGCAGGTCACCCTGCTCGTCTGGCCACACGCCCAACGCCACCGCAGCCGCCCGGCTCGCGTCACGCGCCCTCGGCCGGGTTTTGTGAAGTTGGCCTGACGTGGCAGTCTTTTCGTGGCAGGCAGGCAGGCAGGCCGGCCGTCCGCGGTTGCCGCAGGCCTGGCAAAGCCCGCCCAGAGCTCTGCAGGACTGGGCGGCGCCCCGTCGTTCCTCCCCCGCCCCCCTCGTCGCCCCCCCCCTCGCCGCCGCCTCCCCTCCCCTCCCCCCACCCGCCCGCTGCGGTCCGTCCGCGGGCTCCTCCTTGGGGGCCCAGGGGGCTCGCGGGTTTCTCGGAGGAACGGCGCCGCAGGATGCGACCTGGCTCAAGGCGCTGCAGTGAGGCCGGGCCGAGGCCTCCCCCTCCCCCCTCCCCCGCAGGCTCGGCGGGTCGGGCACGCTGGGACACGGGCGGAGGAAGAGCCATTAGGTCCGGTGGCGGGTTTAGGATGGGAACGCGTGATCCAGTGGGGGATGAGGAAGTTCATTTCCTGATCGATTATTATTTTTTCTCACGTCGGTAATGTGATCAGGTACAAGACACCGTTTTAGGCGTTGTGAGAAATTTGAGCGATCGCAAGTCAAACGGAGAGGAAATGGAAGCACACGAATGTACAGGTGACCCCCGGGGACTGGACACAAGAATGGGCTGAAAAGAGAAGGAGAACCTCAGGACGGGTGGAGAGATCAAAAAATAAGGGGACCAGATAGAGACCAAATTATGGGGGGGGGGGTAGATGAGGAGTTGGGTTTTTGTTACATAAATGTCGGAAAATCTGGATGTGCTTTATATCGCTCTTATCTGCAAGTGAATGACCCAGGGTCTGATTTATATCCACAAGCCTTTTGTAAAAAAAAAAAAAAAGGGTAGTGGGAGGAAAAAAAGGGAACTTGGGAGGCTGAAATTGGAAAGATGGCAGTTCGAAGCCGGCCCAGGCAGCAGGGTTCAGGGTACTCCCATTTCCAGTTTACCAGCAAAAAGCCAGACTGGAAGTGTGGCTTAAGTGTAGAGCACCGGCTGTGAGCAATAAACCCAGTGAGGGAGCAAGGCCCAGAGTCCAAGCCCCAGGGCTAGCAAAAAAGAAAAGAAAAAGTGAAGGACGCCGGGCACTTGCAATCCTAGCTACTCAGGAGGCTGAGATCTGAGGATAGCAGTTCAAAGCCAGCCCAGGCGGGAAAGTCTGTGAAACTTTTTTTTTTTTTTTTGTTGGTCGTGGGCCTGAACTCTGGGCCTGGGCGCTGTCCCTCAGCTCTTCAGCTCAAGGCAAGCACTCTACCACTTGAGCCACAGCGCCACTTCCGGCTTTTTCTGCTTATGTGGTGCTGAAGAATCGAACCCAGGGCCTCATGCATGCAAGGCAAGCACTCTACCACTGAGCCACATTCCCAGCCCTGTGAAACTCTTATCCCCAAATAACCACCAGAAAACCAGAAGTGGTGGTGTGGCTCAAGGGGTAGAGTGCTCGCCTTGAGCTAAAGAGCTCAGGGATAGTGCCCAGGCCCACAGTGCAAGCCCCACGACTGAACCTCCCCCCCCAAAACAAGTGAAGAATAACTAAAATTAGGTGGAATCTTCTAAACCTTCTAAAGCATCCAAGGGTGTGGTCTCCTGAATAGTGTAGATCATCTGACCAACATGGACACAAATAACACCAGCTTCTCCCATGGAACTTCATTCACTCATTGATGCTTTATGTTCAGTCTGCAGATGGTCTGCTTCTTGACATCCTCTGCAAAAATCCCCGGTGTATAGAGAAGGCTATGAAATAGCCAGGCCTGGGATGTTGTACCCTTCTCATCTGACAGTCCATCTCTGGGTAGTTTTCCTCTGACATTCTCCTTTTCCTCCTCTCAGCAGACAAGATATTTACCTTTTCTTTTACTTTTCAAGATGCCTTAATGGTAGCTAGCCTACCCTGAGAGCTCTTCCCCTGCTATGACTGACTGACTCAGTAGGAATTACTTCCTTTGCTTTTGCAGTTAAACACAGCAACAAATCTATTCTGACCTTTAGTTACAGTTACATGTCTGTAACTAAATTTGCATGAGCAGCAAATTCCAGATTGTCTCTAGGCAGAGACACGTACAGAGGGAAAAAAAAAGAGAGTAGTTATATTTAAAGGTCGCTAGATTCTTGCCTGACAGCTGGATGGAAAGCGAGCTAGTTTCCACAGAAAATGTACTTTATCATAAAATCAATTCTATTTGCCAGGCATGGTAGGACATGCTTGTAATCCCAGCATTAGTCAGGGGGCTAAGACAGGAGGACTGAAAGTTGAAGGCAAGCCTGACAACCTATCAAGACCTTGTCACAGAAAATTAATTGCTTGGCTGGGAAGGTGGCTCAGTGGTAGAGCGCTTGCCTTGCATGCATGAGGCCCTGGGTTCGATTCCTCAGCACCACATAAGCAAAAAGAAAAAAGCCGGAAGTGGCGCTGTGGCTCAAGTGGTAGAGTGCTAGCCTTGAGCTGAAGAGCTGAGGGACAGCGCCCAGGCCGAGTTCAGGCCCACAACCGGACCAAAAAAAAGAAAAGAAAATTAACTGCTTATATGTCATCAAGACACCTTTCATTCCAGAAGACACAAACTGTGAGAGGTAAAAAGATTCTATCTTCAATCAAAATTGGGATTAAGAACTGAGGTTTTTGTTTGTTTGTTTTGCCTTTTTTTTTTTGCCAGTATTTGGGCTTGAACTTAGGGCCTGGGTACTGTCCCTGAGCTCTTTTTGCTCAAGGCTAGCACTCTACCACCTGAATCGCAGCTCTGCTTCCAGCTTTCTGGTGGTTAATTGGAGATAAGAGCCTCATGGACTTTCTTGCCTGGGCTGGCTTTTGAACCCTGATCCTCAGATCTCAACACCCTAAGTCACAAGGATTAGAGGCATTAGCCACCAGCACCTGGCTCAGCTTAAGTTATTTTATATTGATTTGGTTTGAATACTTCCAAATCAATTTCATAGATGTTCTTGAAGTGTCTAGAAAATTAGAATATAAATTCAAGTCCAGGACCTCAGGCTCTGAACTTTCCTTGCACCAAAAAAAGGGCTCTTGTGACATATAAGGCCTTTCCCCGACCACTTGAGGAATACTTATTATCCAGCCTTTAAAACTTTCATTATTTTTTCAAGAATGGAAAGATGAATGGTGGTAAAATACAGTCATTATATTAAATGTACATTATATAAAAGCTGACTTAATAACTTGAGGGTGTGGATGGGGTTGGAAAGATGAGGGGAAATAATGGAGGGAATGACATTTAACAAAATGCACTATGTTCAACTTGACTTGTTAAACTAAAATCCCTCTGTACAAATACATGTTTTAAACTTAAAAAAATATATTGTTGCCAGGTGCCAGTAGCTCACACCTGTAATCCTAGCTACTCAGGAGGCTGAGATCTGAGGATCACCGTTCAAAGCCAGCCCGGGCAGGAAAGACCAAGAGACTCTTATCTCCAATAAACCACTAGAAAACCGGAGTGGTACTATGGCTCAAGCGGTAGAGCACTCGCCTTGAGCTGAAGAGAGCAGAGACAGCACCCAAGCCCAGAGTTCAAGCCCCATGACCGACCCAAAAAAATATATGTATATATATATTTATATCGTTATTATAAAGGTGATGTACAGAGGAGCCACAGTTATATAAGCCAGGTAATAAGTACAAAAAAACAAAACGAAAACAGAAAGAAAGAAAGAAAAGAAATGGATTAATAGTTTTGCTGTATTTTGAACTTTTATTAAACAGCATAGGTAAAGAGTTTTAATTCCACTTCATATAAATTCTCTATGCTAGAAATAGCTGCTTAATTGGATTATTTGTTTTGAAACAGCAGTGCTGTTATTACTTAGATGGATCTTATGAATTAGCTGATTTCACATCAATATCTTCCTAGAGTAAAACCAGGAAATAAAACACCTTGGAAAGCCATATGGGGACATTATCATGAACATTCAATTCATAATTTTATAAGATAAAAATATGCCATGGGGTTTTTTTTGTTTGTTTATTGTTTTGCTTTGCTTTGTCTTGTTAGTCATGGGGCTTGAACTCTGGGCCTGGGGGCTGTCCCTGAGCTCTTCAGCTCAAGGCTAGCGCTTTACCATTTGAGCCACAGAGCCACTTCCAGTTTTGGAGCTACTTTCATGTCTGGACTGGCTCTGAACTGTAATCCTCAGATCTCAGCCTCCTGAGTAGCTAGGATACAGGTGTGAGCCACCAACGCCCGGTTCCATGGAAGTTTTTGTTGTTGTTGTCTTGTTTTGTTTTCTCCTACTGTTTCCTTTGGATTGGCTCATGAGAAACAGGAGGCTGGACACCAGTGGCTCACTCCAGTAATCCTTGCTACTGTGGAGGCTGAGATCTGAGGATCACCATTCAAAGCCAGCCTGGGCAGGAAAGGCTGAGACTCTGATCTCCAATAAACCACTAGAAAACCAGAAGTGGAGCTGTGGCTCAAGTGGTGGAATGCTAACCTTCAAATCCCACGACCAACAACAACAAGAAAAAAAAAAAACAGGAGCCACTCTCACAGGGATGTAGCTGGCATCAGTGTAATGAATTGGTTATGTCATTCTAAAGGCCATAAGTTTTCAGTTTGGTTGGTTAGTGAAATGTCAGGAATGACAGGGAAGGGTTCTTTCATTTTTGCATGCTACGCCTGATTGCACTGATGGTTTATTTGCTAAGCTTTTGTTCTTCACCTGGTGAAGAACAGGTTTTAAAAGCTGGTTTTAAACTCAGGACAGTTTAAAACACCACTCTGGTTTTTGTTGTTTTATTTTCTACTCTGTTCAAGACATGTTTTACCTGCTCATTCTAACACTTTCCTAATTCTACATTCCAGAAGGGAGTATTGGGGAGAGAAAT